TCGTCTCATCTCGGGATTGCGGTGTCGCGGGAGACTGCGGCGCCCCCGACCGAAGAGCTCGTGCAGGCCTTTCTGACAAACTGAGGGAATGTTAGTCATCCCAAGCCGGACAATCCGCATGGTTTTGACTGGTTGGTGACATGTCGTGGCAAGCCCCGGAACAGACGGAAGTTCGGGGCTGAACGTTGGTCAACGGGGCGGGATGACGTCTGCTGGGCTACGCGTTTAAATAGCAGCCAGTATTGGACTCAGCTGAAACTCCATGAAGTCCCGTGCGTGATATTGTGATTCTTTTTCGTTGCGTCTCTCATACCAAAGTATACCCTCGTCGAAATGCAGAAAGTCAAAGCCAGGCTGCCGTCATGGGACACTACAAAGACTACAAGCAAGAAGGGCTTTGACAAAGTGTGGGGTTGGGCTGACAAGCTGGGTGCACCAATCAATCGACTCTCAAATCGCATCGGCAGTGAGGCATTCTGGCCCACGACTCTGGACAAGGAGAGTGACAAGGCCGCCAGAATTTTGAGGTCCTTCTGCAGTAAGTGATCCCCTCAGACACAGCTGAATATGATGACAGGAAGACTAACCAGATGACAGAGGATGGCTTCTATACCGAGGAGGAAAAGCCGGCTGATGGCGAACAGGCTGGTCCCAAGCAGAAGCAGCGCGTCTTGAAGAAAATCCCACAAAAGGTGATACAGAATGCTGTCGGTCTCGCCATCTTCACTACCATGCGAACCGGTCTCTGGGTCTCTGGAGCCGGCGGATCCGGAGTCCTCGTAGCCCGAAACGAGGAGGACGGTTCATGGTCTCCTCCATCTGGCATCTTGCTGCACACAGCAGGTCTTGGTTTCCTAGTCGGAGTCGATATCTACGATTGTGTCGTTGTCATCAATAATCGCAAAGCCCTGGATGCATTTACCAAGATCAGAGCGACTCTCGGAGGAGAAATCAGTGCTGTTGCGGGACCCGTCGGAGCAGGCGGAGTGCTTGAGAATGATGGTAAATGGAAACAAGCCAACAGACCTGTCTTCACTTACTTGAAGTCGAGAGGATTCTACGCTGGAGTTCAAGTGGATGGTACAGTCATTATTGAGAGAACAGACGAAAACGCTCGCTTCTATGGACAGGAGGGTGTTAAAGTAGCAGACATCCTAGCTGGCAAAACAAGTCGACCTCCAGAAATCAAGATGCTCATGGAGACGTTGAAGGCAGCCGAAGGCCGAGAAGATGTTGACCAGCAATTGATGGAAGAGTTGGAAGGACAACCTGCGCCAGGCGATGTCGATGTCGAGGCTCCTGGTGAGGGAACAGTCTTCGGCATTCCGGACCCAGAGGACCCCGATCCATATGGTGTTCTCGCCCTCGAGAAGGAAGGCCTCGAGATCCGTGACGCCGCAACTCACTCAAGACCATCAAGTCAAGCCTTCGAGTACAACCCTAGCCCCAACAGCCCGACGTACAAAAAGTTCTACAGACGGAGTCTAGAGACCGGAACAAGGAGCAATCGAGACAGCTATGCTTCAACGCCGAGCAGGACATATACGACATCCGAGGCCAGTACGCAGACTGAACCTGTACTGATAACACCAATCGCAAGTACGACACCAGAGAATAAGAGTCTGGCGCATCCGGAAAAGCTTGATGACGACAAGTCAAGCATCTACGAGGATGTTCGGCTGGAGGATGACTTTCGGTCGCCGTATGATGGGTCATCACAGTCGCCTTACACTACTGTCGATAGCTTCATCACACCACCCCCTGGGCCACCACCGCCGCTGCCCGCTAGAAGCCCCGTTGCGTAGTGAGTTTGTCGGATAGAGAGTGTTTTCAGCCAGGCGTAGGGATATTGGAGAAAGAATGGAGTTAGACATGCAACGTTGGTGAATTTAGAGACTACATTTCGTATCCTTCGATGCAAACATTCCGAGTAAAGCTTTGTCTCTGTCATCTATGCTCTAATTTGGTCTACAGTTGTCTAATTAGTATGAGAGAAGTGCGGCTCTCCAGGCTTATTACCGTCTTCACCCTCCTCCTCATCGGAGTAAATGAGTGGAGGTGGAGACTCAGCACCACGAGACCGCAGAGGCTTTCGCCTATCACGCCACAATAATAACTGAATGAAGGCAGTCTCCAAAACTGTGCACATACGTTAGTACTCATGAAGATATGGAGGAGAGGGAGCACTCACTTAACAGTACTTGCAAAATGGTTGAGTACGTGTATCCCTTCCTCGCAGCGGGAAAATCTGTCGTTTTCCACATGAACATAGGCACCTGTAATATCAGTATCGGAAGCAAAGTGCCAAATGACTAACTTACAACAGCCTGTACAACATACGCGAAGTCATTGGCTATGGCCACGATCAGGGCTCGCTTTTCCGTATCCGCAGAACATATCTCGTTAATCCAGCTGAGGATCAGAGGACCGGCACCGTGCTGAGTTTGTGTTAGATAGAGTTAAAGGAAAGGAGTGAAACGTACGCCGATGTTGCTGAGCCAGTAGACAACCTTTCTTCCATCAACATTGGAGTAGAGTGGCATGTTGAGAAGGAGGATGTTGAAGATGATCTTTTGAAGACTTAGGCATTAGAATATTTACCAAGCGTTGCTATGTGTCTTGACTCACAATAAGTATGGCTCCAGCATAAATAAACGGCCAACGAGCTCCTTGTAGTGGTCCGTCTGACAACCAGCCCCATGCCAGCGCCATTACAAGGAAGATCGCTGTGTTAGGAATAGGTACTTATGACGCAAAGATTAGTTCCAAGTCATGGAGAATAATGGCAGTGATAAAGCTGGGGGATGGATTACGGTTGTTGATCTCAGGAACAGTGAATGAGGTCCCAGGGACTGGAGGAGGCTTGTCGTTGAAGCTTTTCAGCCAGTAACCCATAGCGGCTTGAGGATTGCCATTGTTCCAGAGAATATACAGTAACGCTGTTGGTCAGTTTAGAGACCTTAAAGGGGTTTTGAGGAGCGACATACGAAGATGGTAAGTATGCCAGCTGGACAAGACCTTCTTGACCCTGTCTTTTGTCCAAGGCTGCTTGCCTGCGCGGCCGATCGCCTGCATTCTTTTGACCGATAAAACGTGCTCTTCTTCAGTTGTCCACCAAGTCCTCTTCCCATCTTGCGGTAGGTTCGGGAAAAAGAAATACCCGGCTATTGCCAGTGGGATGGTGATAAGGCCGTCGATGATGAATAGCCAACGCCCTAGAGGAAGGGTCAGCGTCAGATATAGCCAGATCACAGTGTCAAGATACTCGAATAGCGAGTGAGTGTGACCTTAAAAATCCCGTACTTACAGCCTGCACGCCCATGAACGCCATTAAGATTTGTATACGCAGCTCCTTGGAGAAATCCGCTGAACATGGATCCAACCGAGCCAGCCAGCCAGAACAGCATGGCTCGCTTGCCAATCTCCCTAGGCGTATACCAGGAGCCGAGCATATAATGAATTCCAGGATAGAAGCCCGATCTGATGTTTATGTTAGCCTAGTGATCTGCGACAACATGGTACTGCGGGGGGCTTGCGCAAGGAAGTTGCATACTCGAAGAAGCCTACGAAGAACCGTAATACATAAAGACTCCTATATGATTGAACTGATGAGGTACATATTGTTGCTATACCCCACCCTACTTCAAGCGACGGAATGACCCATCGTGGAGACACTCGGGTCAGTAGTAGATTTGATGGGATCTGCCCGATGACATAGCCAAATGTCCAAATGGAGGTACCTTGCCTTCAGTGTGAGAATTCATATCAATAGAAGAACCATATGTGCACTCACTAGTCACCAGTTGATTCCCAAACATCTCGAGGTCCTCCTCCATTCCACTTAGAAATGCGTTATTGATGTTGGTCTGATCGATGTTCTTGAGGAAATATCCAATTGATGCGAAGGTCAGGATGAAGGCATCGACCTTGAATAGTAAGCGCCTCTGATCTTGAGGTAGCTCCCACGTATCCCATATGTATCCTTTCCATGTTTTGACTGGCTCAAAAATTACATGATCCTCGGTGCTCTCTGGTGAAGCGTCGGCCAGGGGCACGTAGCCTTGCGAGCCTGGATTTCTCAGTGTCGCCATGGTCTGATTTGAAATAGCAAAAATGCAAGAGAGTTACAAGAATTCCTTAAACGTCACTTGAAATGTTTTTGGCAAAGGAAGATATATCATTATTCCCATGGTTCGGGGATATGCTGATCCATGTGACCAAATATATGTGCTAATCGTCCCCCCCGATCGCGTCAGTCAACCTACGCACCACGTAATTGGCCCTTTTCAGATACCAGCGCTACAGTGTCGCAGTTGCTGATGAAGCAAGGAAGCACATAATATTTTGTATGTATTGCTTGCTCAGAGCTCTACATATATGTGGCTGCTATTGGCTCATTGTTTGGAAGGATAGTCGTGCAGCGGAGCTAAGGGAAACTAAACGTCGCAGATAGTCCAAAGATTTATCGCAAGAAAAAGCAACGTTCTACGAAGCTCAAGATTTGGCAGCTATTCTTTGTGCTATGCAATACTCTTACATAGAGGGATTTTATTGGCACAGTACAGTGATCCATCATTGTCAACACGATGTATCGCATGTTTTATCAGACCGAGTGATTACACAGGCCTTGGACCCCTCCGAGTGATTGAATTGATTTGAATGCGAATAATTTGACCACATTATCCCATAGAATGCTTTTTGGGGGATATTTTACTATAGGAAAGCTTCAACGGCGTGTCTACCACTTCTGTCCCGGCTCGTCGACGTAAACACTTCATTCCTCTCGGTCCAGATTCAGCATAATTACTGGCATTTCTATCGACATATGTAATATTAGTATATGTTGCATACACCTGCCGCATGACAATAGAAAAATAAAGATTTGTCCAGGCTCAAGGCGTGTAATTAATTTCCGACGTGATAAGAAGTTGTAAAGCTTGCAGCTGCATCCGTCTTAAAATACTCATCCGACGATACCTGGTTCCCACTCTACTGCTCCATTAGTATTTGAAGCGAGGCTGGTCGGTACCAGCAGCCCGTCTATTTCTCCAGACATAGTACCCATGCATAGCGACACAGCCAACGCTCACAAACAAGAGCAGACCAGCGTTTACCCAATGTCCTGTTGGATAGCCCTTCTTGGCTTCGTTTGCCTTATAGATCCAGACACCAACGATTTGACCAGGCGCTCCCATGGAAATATTGAGCGCAATGGCCAAGCCGATGGCCGCCGTGGAATGAAGGTTGGACGACAGCCAGCCTAGAAGAGGAGGGATACAGGCGAATGATCCGCACGCCGCCACGATCAGACAGCCATAGCGAGGCTATAATGTTAGAGATTTGCATAGAACTAGAGTTTCGTACAAACGTACACTGTAAAAATCGGCAGGAAGAGTTGCAGAGGCAATGAAGCCGACGGCACCTATCAAGGAGAATACAGCGGAGTGAAGAGCGCGTCTGACTTCAAGTTAGAGAATGTTGATGGTAGAGGGATTGATATATTGCTTACGCATTATGTCGGTCTGCTGACCATGAAACAAGCAGTGTAACGACGTAGGCAGCTGCGTAAGGAGGCACTGTCATCAATTGGGCTCTAAGATCCGCAAACTATATGCCGTTAGCTGATGTAGACCTCCTATAGTCCTTTTACGTACCCCGAGGCCAGCTGTGATAGAAGGCGTGAAGAGCGACAGGCTGGAGAATGGGGCTGAAATGCCGAAGTAGATCTTGGCGCGGTTAGCAAAGGGTCTTGGTGTCAGAAAAGAGCAAAGCATACCAGGTAATGGCACCAAAGCCTCCATTCCAGCAGCGTTGACTTAGCATCCTCCCATGTCATGGACTTGCTATCGCCATGTGATCCCTGCTCAGAAAGTCTATATGCTGCAATGTCCTTTTCTTCGGCAGAGAGCCAGCTGGCTGACTCGGGAAAATCTGGGAGTCCGAACCAGACGAATGCCGACGAGATCACGGAAGGGATACCCTCGAGGATGAAGAGCCACCGCCAGCCAGAAAGACCATGGACTTGATTCATATGACCAACTCCATAAGCGATGGCGCCGCCAAAAGCTCCGGCAAGAGTAGCAGATGCCAAGATAGTCGCGACGCGAACCGAGCGCTCTTCAGGCTTGTACCAGAATGTCAGATAGTATACCAGACCAGGGAACAAGCCGGCTTCAAAGACACCGAGAAGAAATCTCAGAACCGTGACAACAGCGTAACTGTGAGCTGCACCAAGACAGATCGTGATAGTGCCCCATGCAAACATGAGGAACGCGATCCATCTGCTGGGCTTCATCTTCTTGAGGAAGTAGTTGGACGGGACTTCGAAGAGAGCATACGCAATGAGGAAAACCATGAGGGCAATGGTAAAGTCGTAGTTGGTCATGTTGGTTTCCGTGAGAAGATCATGACCGGTCGTATGGTTGAGAACCTTGGCGTTGCCAATATTGGAACGGTCTAGATAGCAGAGCAAATAGATACCCGCAGCCAAGGGAATGATGCGAACATCTTGCTTGCGCACCAGCTTCTTCTCAAGAGCTGGATCAATTGCCGTGGTGCTCTCCAGCCGAGAATCGGAGTTGTGCTTAGGGGCCTCAGTTGGGGGCCTTGTTGGAGAAGGCGGGAGACGTACCTTTTCATCGCCAGCCATCTCGGGATTGCTATCAAAGTCGTTTCGCGCCGCCATCTTGTTGTAGCAACCTCAAAGCTTGAAGATATCTCTTGGCAGAAGTCAGTGAAAACTCTGGCAAAGGAGGAGAAGGGCCAAGAAATAGAAAAATTAAGCGAGGCGAAAGGACCGTTGCATCTCATCTCGCGGTGACCAGCCAGAGGTAAATATCCCCGCATAATTCAAGCCCACTTGGTTCCAATTACATACAAGATCTGCGTCGTATTCGCGGGGTTGAGCATCTCGGTTTCGGTGGCCGACGCCGAACCCCATGTTTTACGGCGCCGAAACGTCTGAGCTTATTTACAACGGATAACCGGCAACGAATAGATCATTTAACTTGAAAATATCACCTGGGGAGAAGCTTAGATCGTGAATTGTTCAAGGCTAAATATTGGTTGTCCAATCGGTGCGGAGTAGGTTCAGCCCTCCCCGATGCGCCAAGAGTGACTACTGATATTCCCGTTGTTTACCCCCATTGCCAAGCCTCGGCGAATTGAGTCTCAAGAGAGGCTTAGATTGCCTTTGATCGGTCTGCCTGGCGGGTATAGGGGTTCTGGGAGGTAAAAAGGCTAGGACCTAAAGTTATCCTAAGTTTAGGATAGGCTTAGCACGCTTACCACATACTTAGTATGTCTTTAGACCAATTCCTTCTTGGCACCTTTGTGGAATGTCAGATGTTTGCTTGCTCTATGAACAGGGAGCAAGGCTAGGCCATCTTACTGGGAACCGTTGTTCGATACGCCGAAGGTCTCAAATCTGAAAGCTGCATTTGGTTTTCTGTTGCCTTATTGAGACGGTTCTTTGGTTCTAGCCGTTCACTATCGTGTCAGGAAAAGAGCTTGTTGCACTGGAGCACTGGAGCTGGTCTCTCAGGCGCAGCGCCATCAATAGCTTGCGAGATTGGCAAAATGTGTAGCTTCATATCTATGAGTGATAGGATAAGCCGCACTAGAGTTACCAAGTTCATAAGACATGTAAAATGTTTCGTAATAATTCTATTGTTGCCATTATTGGCATACAAGGCCGTATCATGAGGCGATGCGCAATTCTAATTTCTCGACTTGATATATAGTAATTGCATATTGTATAGCCATTAAAGTCCAAGCGAAATTTCACTTCATGTCATTGTTACTTCATACAGAGTTTGAACTTGTAACGAGGTTAAGTTATGCTGCGACAACTCGCCCTCAATCGAAAGGAGTCATCCTACAGAGGAGCAGACGATCCAGCCTCTTCCAACATCTCGGCTAGTCTTAGTGAACCTTGGTAAATCTTCTTTTCTTCTCTGGTCCGTTCGCCTACATGATCACGGTTCCAGTCCATGATGACTGAGACAACCCCTTCCAGTGTCGTGAGAACTCCTTTGTACCCTAGCCCGCCCTCAGAGATAGGCTTCCTAGCCTCAGCATCAGATGCTATCAAATGAGTGCAGATGGTGATGAGCCCGGGCTGAACTGTTCTGAGATCGCCTTTGACCTCTAGAAGAATTCCTTTGAGAAATGGGAGGCGATAAGGAAGTAAGATGAACCATTCGACGATATACGTCATAAAAAGGATGACCAATGGCGGCACGATAACATTTCGAAAAGGGTGAACAGATAAGACTTCCACAGCGGTATAAATGTCTCCGAAAGTGATTGGCGGACCAACATCCGTGACCACAAACGGCTTACCAGCTTGAGTGCAATTTTCTTTTGCTAGTGCAGCTTCATGATATAGATGGGCGACGCTAACGTTGGCGCCATGAACGAAGTTCTGTACGATGTGCGGGACCCAGCTATAAGAGCATTAGAGATAACGATAGATCAATTTAAGCGAGACTTACGTTTGATTGACATCTCTAGCCAGTAGATTACCGATGGGATTATCAGAGGGATGACCATAGATACCATTCCCAGGTCGAATGCATCCTGTGCGAAAAGACGGTCCATTCTCAGCACACACGAGACGTTCTGCAATGGCCTTTGAAACAGCATAGTTGGCAAAGTATTCCTCATGTTTCCGTAATGGCTTGTCAAAGTCCTGTGTATCCATGACCTGCCAATAGTGCTTCGGCTCTGCCCATGGTACTACAAAGGCCTCGACGGGTCGGATGGATATCGAAGCTGACGATGTTGAGCTGAAGATATCGGCGCCGACTGCACGAGAAGCAGCCAAGACATTCTTGGTTCCCTGTACATTGACGGCTTCGGTGAACTTGTAGAGATACTTGGACCTGGCTCCTGGTATGATGACAGCAGCTGTATGGAAGACAGTAAGTGGTAAAGATGCTATCTTCGGATCCCACGGCTTAGAAAAGGCATCGCCAACAGCAGCCTTGGAGGTAATGTCTGCCTGCACAAAGTCCACTTGAGCAGCGAGACCTTCCCGAAGATCATCTCGCTCAGTCTCTCGAACGTCGATAATTCGAATACACCTAGGCGGTGTTCCGCGAGCCAATAACTGGAGAACTATATATCCACCAACGAGTCCTAGCACATTCGTCAGTACCAACTAACACCCGTGGACAGAGGAGACCTACCATTGCCTCCCGTGACAATATATCTCCTATCTAGTTTGGGAGGTAAACGCCCATCGAAGTTTATTGGAGACTTTTCAAGGGTTTCGTAGGTTTTCCTCAGTAGTTCTGGGTCCCAAGGCTCGCCTCTAAGTCTTCCAACCTGATGGGGCGTCTCTCTCAGCAACCAGTTGATGCGCTGAAGATAGAGGATGAGAGCCACAAAAAGCACGCCTGGTCCAAGCAACACCAAGAGGAGCATAGCAGCCATGCTGATGACGCTTGTTAGTGCTAAGGAATGTGTCAAAGTCAAAATTTCATTACCTGTCGGCGACCCCCTTTTCGAGGGGCGATTTGATGTAATAAGAGGCTTTCTGCAGTATCCTCAATTGTCAATCAATTGGAAGATACTTTTCGTGGGCTGAAACATGGCCTGACAGCCCCTGGTTTCTCCGATCAAGTGCTGAGTCATGAGATATCCTTGTCGACAACCGTTTGGTCTAGCCCAGTTTGTCGAACGTTACCACATGGTGCAAAAATAACACGGCAAGATTAACGTGATTGCATCGGATTGAAATTATTTTGACCTCAGCCTTAACTCTTTCTCCCAAAATATGGCTTGAGCTCTATTGCCCTGTCTACGATCTTGTGACAATCCCTTCTATAACCCTGGAACAGGTTCTCGTACCCTGGTTCATTCTCCGCCTTGGTAATAAAGCCTCGGTTCGTAGGCATGCCGTACTGTCCTACACATCAGAGCGCAAACATGTATTGCTATACGAGGTGACACGGCTTATACGACGCAATGAGAGTTTCTGGGGAATTATGTTAATGCGCTTCCTGGCGGTGTGAGCCATGACCTGCCAATCTTGGAAGGGTTGATGCCTGGGTGATTTTGTGTCGATGACAACCAAAAGACCGATCGATCCAGCCTCTCCATCCTCCACAATAGGCCTTTAGCGTAGAATAACATTAAAGGGACACGGGAACTGTGACATTCCTCGCCCATAACACCGGAGACGCTGTCAGAATTGTTGATGACGCGCACTAATTTCAGCAGCTTTTCCAGTATTATTTGTGCTAAGCCCCATAACCTGAGTCGCCAAAGATCTGTTCTCCTTTAAATCACCAATTTCTGTAACCTGGATACCACAAAGTCGGCCGCCTCTCTAATTCCATATGGGCTTTTCTCAAGTGACGTGCAAGTTGGCAGTGGAGACGAGAAACCAACCGGTGAGGGCTGGATATAGCCTTCTCGAAGACTCCAAAAAAGTTCACATGCGCTCTCTAGTGACGCCATGGACCTATCCACTCACCAAATGCGCTGTATCGATTCGGCAGCTGTGCTGGCTCATTACGTGGCCTGACAACTCAGCCAGGGCGGGACGTGCTCGCGTGATGGACATCATAAAGGAACAAAGTCATCAGGAGAGTCATTTCATCCCACCAAGACGTCGGTTCCATCTTGTGTCTATAGACCAGGGGACCTATGATGCAAAAAGGGCGGAGCCTCTCTGGCTCACCGAGAACAGTAAGATTCTTTTGTGGGCTGAATTAACAGCATAAACACGACTCTAGTATCCATCCCGGGATAGGTCAGCTAGGTCGAGGAATTACTGAGATATAATAGTGCCGTTTTACTTGACGGTTAGTGGATTATAAGGATATGGTGAATAAAAAACATGGGAGTTCATTTGGCGGTGGAATCATACATTCAAGCCAAAAAGTGCATGATTCTTTTCTTCACCCTGTAGCCTGACGTCAGAATGACGTTTGATTAGCTGTCAAACTTGCTTCTAACCAATGCCGTTACCGGGAGACCTCCGCGGAGCTTGATTGGCATTGTTAGCGAAAACAGTCCACAGACATGAGCGTTATTGACTCTAATACCGACGCAGTGGGCTCGTTGCTCCCGTCTAGCGCTCCAGGGCTGAATCCTTTTCTGCCCACCAAACGCAAAAGTTGCCCTTTGTTCTCTATCTGATCACTGATCACGCATTCACCCCATGTGTCTCACTATGTCCCATCCAGATCATCCTATCGTTCGCTCCAGCTGAAAGGGTCTTTGGTAATGGATCCCCAGGAGGCAAGGAGGCTGGTCCCGATCCTGCCCGCTCAACAGACCTCAGGGTATATCTATGGGGAAGACCACTCGCCTGGCCCTTCGTCACCACCGCACAGGCTACGAAAGAGAGTCTTGGTCGCCGTGGCTTGCGAGGGATGCCGCCGAAAGAAAGCGAAAGTACGAGGCTTCTCTCTGCTCGAAGAGGGGTAGGCAATACTAATGAGGCCTTTCTTGTAGTGTGACGGCAGAAAGCCAACTTGCAGCCGTTGCTTCTCCAAGAGCGAGGCATGCTCGTACGAAACCCCATCTGTTCCTGTCGCCGTGCAGAAAAAGTACGACATCTTGCTAGTCGAGAATCAGCAGTATCGAGAACTGTTTGACGCCATAAATAAGAAGCCTGAGTGCGAGGCGCAGGAGATTTTCAACCGGCTGAGAAGTTCGGATCAGCCCCTTGCTGTCCTCGAATCTATGAGACAAGCCGAAGTTCTGCTCCCGAAACCTTCGACAAATACATGGGGTTCCGATCCTAGGCTGGCATTTTTCGACCAGAAAGCATTCGAATCGAGTGTTATTCAGGTTCCTGCCAAGCCGTGGACAACGGTTGCCGGAGATGGAATTGTGTCAGAGCTAATAACGGACTTTTTCACTTGGGATAACTCCTACATGTTTCCCGTGCTCGATAGGATCACATTTGTGGATGAGATGAGAGCGGGAGATGATACAGAAGTGAAATGGTGTTCTCCTTTGCTGGTAAATGCTATTTGCGCTAAGAGATGTGTGAGTAGCCAGCTGACGTTCTCGAACCATAACTAAGCAAGTGTAGCTGATGGTTGAACGAGGAAAACAATTCGGTATCATGACAGGCCGTAACCTCTCCGAGGCCTTCCTTGCCGAGGCCAAGAGTCATTTTGAGTCTGAACAAGGCCGAATATCGATACCCACTGTCCAAGGACTACTTCTGATATACCTCACCATGACAGCTATGGGGAAAGACAGAGCTGGTTTGATCTACCGTCTCACAGCCTATGAGATGCTCAAGCAACTCCGCTTGGAGGCAAGGTATAAGGCAGCAAAGAACAACGTTCCACCTCAGACTCACGACATGTTGCTGACATCCAAGACGCTTTGGGGAATATTCCTTATAGAGAGGTGGGAGCGAGCTAATCCAATCATAAGACGTTATATTGACTGTGAGCGTTTAGCCGGATAGCTTATTTCTACAACAGGCCCTCTACTATTCCCCCACCTCAAGTCCCTAAGCCCTTCCTCTCCATCCTGACGTTCACTCATAAAGGAAATTTGGATGTTCTTGATAGGCCATGGAAAGATTCCTCTGATCTTGTTCCTCGGCCACCTGGCGTTTTGGCAGCTGCATGCTCGTTTTCTGAGCTTCTCTACGAGATCATGCAATATCTGACAATTTCTAAAGTCAGACGGGGAGGTGATGAGGATATTCATACTAGACGGCTATTCTTTTCTCGCCTCATACAGCTGAAACATGACATACCTCGCCAGTTGGTCGTGGAGCAGAACCCTACACCAGTGACGTGTTTCTTAAGGTAAAGACACAGCTGGCTGATATTTCATGCACTGACAAGACTATAGAATAGACGAGAACCTAATCTTATACACACTGCTTCAGGATTTGCCTCCAGACACACCATTCGGTGTTCCGTACAGCTCGACAGTCAAGGGCTTATGCGTTCAACATTGTCGTCACGATACCGAGATCATTGGGTCGTTTATCAAGAAGTGGCCTACGAACCTAATGATAGCACATCAACTGTACATATCAATGCAAACACTGGTCCCCATACTCGACGACACCGCGGCACAAGATCTGTTTACAAAAAGTTGTCGGATGGCGCAGTTGTCTTCTGGTAGCGTTAGACTGAGTGGAGTTCTCCTACAAGCTACTCAAGCCTTCGTCTGGGCTATGGATAAGTCCATCCCCGAACCTGCAAGGCAACATCTCGAAGGATGGACTCAAGAAACAACCGAGAAGGACTGGCCAATGAGCTTTGCATTGCCTCCGCGGAGAGAGGTCAATGAAGTCCTCGCTTCCGATGAAAGCGACCAGGAATGCTCAATATGGAACTTGGGCACCTTGATCGAGAAATGGGCGATGCTGTCGATGGCTGAAAGCAGACCATCGTCGTGACCATAAAGAACGAGAAGGTTCCGCCCAATAGAAGACGAGAATCGATCTCTGGCTGCGTCATATGCTTGTTCATCAAACTAGCATTCCACTTCCATTATTTTCGCTTTTGAGCCATACTGTTCCACCGAGTTCAGAAAGAACAAAACCATGCATGATTCTTTATGAATCCTCGTATTCGATGGCGACATGATATGGTGGGGTCACGGGATATTGAGGTTTCGTGATTACTTCACTTCACTTGGAGGCTCAGTCGCAGCACGTGAACACCGTATCAGATGATCTCATCAACTTGGGCGACTATGCTCCGTACAGACCTACCATCATATGTCGCTCGAGACATAATGTTATTTATAGTCTCGCCTTGTGATAATGGTAAATCTCAGCGCTGAACGCTAAGCAATGAGTGGATTTTAGAGCCTTGGCCTAGAGGGTCATCTTACGCGTCCCTAAGGTAATGCCAAGTAGATCACCAGCCACAGGCATATGCTCATCATGACAGATATGATTCGGTGATTCCGATGCGAGGTGGCTCAGCCCCGGGGTCATTTGGTGCATGTCCGAACGCCGAGCCACAGCATGCCGATGCATCCGGCTGCCAAGTGGCCGGGAGTGCCGAGACCCGCGCCGCAAACATGTTGGTTCGGGCAACTGCGCCACCTTTGCCCAGAGTGAGATCACATCAGCCAAGATCAATAAACCTTGTTGGAGCTGAATGGCTTGATGACGACAGTGTCTACTTAAGTAGAGCTCGACCCCTCACTTTACATCACTGCTCAAAGCTAGAATTACAGTACAACTTCACAAATACACACAAACAGCACAAAGCAATATGTCAGCTCAAGATTACTACAGTGGTGGTGGAGGTGGCTACGGCCAGCAGCAACAGCAAGGTGGTGGTTACGGACAACAACAAGGATATGGCCAACAACAACAGGGTTATCCTCAGCAGGTAAGCTATCTACCAAGCTCCGAGCTCCAGCTACAGTTACTAACAGAGCTTCAACAGCAGCAATACTCTCAAGGATCCAATTACGGCTCCAACCAGCCCAGCTACGACAACCGTGATCAATCGTACGGCCAACACCAAGGCGGGCAATACGGCGGCGGACCTGGCCAATACCCCGACGGTGCAGGTGGTCCCGGCGGTCCGGGTGGCCCGGGAGGTCCGGACGGAGAGCGTGGACTAGGCGCTACACTTGCAGGAGGAGGTGCAGCCGGCTGGGCCGCTCACACAGCTGGCAGCGGTCTTCTCGGTAGTCTAGCCAGTGCCGCTGCTGGCGCCATTGGCGCAAACTTCCTCGAGCACAAGTTCAAGAAGCACAAGAAGGAGAAGAACAGGAAGCATCACCGCGACGGACGCCCTCGAGCTTTCACCGGCGACTCGACCAGCAGCAGTGACTCCGACTCTGGAGATGAGCGACGTCGACGAAAGGACGATGACTTGGCCTACGGAAAGTCTCAGTATGACAACTCCTCCCGGCATGGACATGGAGGCGGCTCTCATGGAGGTTCCAGCTCATACGGTGGAGGCGGATATGATGGCCGAGATCAGGGCTACGGCGGTGGTCAGAGCTACGGTGGCCAGGGCGGATACGGAGGTCAAGGCGGATATGGCCAGCAGGGCTACGGCGGTACCCGGTACTAAGTGCACGTCTATGGCACTGAGCGGATTGAAGAACGAGACATGATCTTTTGTAATTGATATGAGCCGGAAGAATATCGACGTTTAACGTTAGACACGAATACAAATACCCTGAAACACTCATCTGTTGAGCCTTTGTGTGACAAGCCAAAAGATTGCATAATACCCGGTCAATTATGCTCGCGTTCACTTTCAAGAAGCGTCTTCGGTAGTTCGCCCCTCCGATGGCGCTGAACTTGCTCTCCCTGCATATGCAGGTCATGAACTTAACCCCGCTAAATGATGTCTTGATCTCCACGTCTGACACAAGAACCTGGTAACAAAGATACGGGGTTAGCATAATCCGAGATACCGGGCGCGGAGAACACCTCATTACCGTGACTTTAGTCCTGTAGCGATCGTTTCATATGCGTGGTTTGCCAGATTGGATCTTCATCTACCGTAATGACCGAGAATTCTTTTCCTTTCCAGAAGTCAATGGCATTCGGTAGGAACGGATGCGTGTGAAGGTAAAGCTGCTTGATCCCAGAACGCCGAGCTGTCTCGACTAGCGTGTCAAACAGCCTGGAAGCTAGGCCTGCGCGACGCCATTCAGGCTCAACGTATAATCTCACTATCTCTACTACATTCTCGCGATCGAGGGTGATATGTGAGAAGCGCCCATCGTAAGCAACGTAGCCAATTGTCGCAATCAGGCGCCCGTCGGAATGCGCTGTTAAGAACGCGCCTTGAGGATAGTCAAGATATCTCTGCTTGAAGATGTCGAGTTCCTTCTGGGCCATTTGATCGCTGGATGATTGGTCCAGAAACGGGAACATGTCCGCTCGGGCCTTGGTTATGAAGTCCACGATTGCGGGAATCTCATCATGTGTCGCTGGCTGGATGGTGACATTGGACATGTTGAATTTCGAGTGATAAAGTCATTGGGCGCCTTGAGTAAATAAAAATTTCACGATAGAAATATGGCGCAACGAACTCCACATCTAAAACTAATCGTGCTCGCGAAAAAGAAGCTTATTTTCATCCATCTAATCTCGCTAAATTGACCCTTCTTATCAATCTATGGCCCCATGTTTGATGATGCTGCCCTCCAACTTCATCATAGCCCAGCCAACACCCGGCAAGGTTTCCCCTTCGCTACTATTTAGTTATGCGACCATTATCTCATGCGCAAGATACATAATACCTCTCATTTTTGCAGCAGTCAGAGAAGACTCAGCCCTGGTTTTTCTGAAGGTCTAGCATTATACATAGGTATTAATTCACGCATCACGCTCTACATCTTCACCAATAATGATCCTGGGGGGGATAAGCAGTCCGTCAGCAACAGGGGAGACAAGTAGCCACTGACAGCACTTTATCACCAGAGCCTGCTTTCCAGCTGCTGCAAGCATGTTCACATTGGGCAATTCTCTGTCGCCAACTGCATACCAGCCCAGGGTTTCGAGCATGGGCAGTGGTGCGATGCAGCTCAATGATCATTTAGAGCGTGACAACCTTAATTGCTAGATTTCCATTCCCCAGATCTCTAGCGTTCCTCGTTTTTCGTGTCAATTTCGCGACTGAGCCATTGCTGAAACAAGCCACGATGCACACTAAGAACTCACTCCGTCTTTCATTTTCTCTCCTACTCTTATTGGCCGCAGAGACAGTTGCCGATGACGATGATACTGATTTTCTTATTAATGTCTTCTCTGATCTTGGCCCGTAAGTCGTCAACACTTGATAACCACTTGTTCTTTTTTACCCCGATGGGCCGCCATGAGAACTGACCCAGTTGCTCAGTGTCCTCGCATTATTCGGCGAACAATTTGCTCGACAATTCCTAAGTGAGACCTTTACCTGGTACGATCATGTGATCTTCGCGTGCGTTCCTTTGGGCATCATGACAGCGATTGCCGGTGCCATTCGGGTCCAAGGCCATACGTTTCTCAAGGCCTTCATCGGTCGTGCTCGTGAGAACAAAGCAGCTGCAGAGATTGAGTACATGTCTTCCACTTCAGCCGAAGTCGGTGAACTCTTCAATGGAAAGGGCATCGTGCGAACAATGGGAGAGCCCGAAATTGCGCAGTTTATCGTATTCCCTGATGAACTCTTGAGGGAGAAGAAGGGTGCACAAAAGCAATCATACGGCATACACACCCTCAAGTCCGCATCTCAAGAAGGCATTCTATCCAAGGAAGGTATGGTTTGAAACACAGGCTTCTCCCACAAGTATTAACCTCATGCTAGGCTATTGCGATGAACTTGATCTAGCAGCACAAAATTGGTTAAAGTCATTCAAGGGTACAGTGACTCGTAAAAGGGATATTGAGCAAGCAGAAGACGAATTTGGTCATCCTATCTCAGAAATTGGCAGAGCAAACCCATTAGAAAAGAACGATAGGTTTCCCAAGTATTGGGAATCCCTGAAATTTCCTAATCTACAGCTGAACATTGCAACCGAAAAGATATCACCAAGAAGGAGAAGTATTGAACTACACTTGGCCGCCATTGTTGCAGTCATTCTCCAGGCCTCCCTTCTTGTTATAGCTGGTGTCGTCCCTTACCGTGCTCATGGCTACGAGACTCAACCTTGGGGGATTCCCTGCTACATCGGCGGCTCAGTCCTTCTTTTCATTGGTATGCTTGCATGCTCTGTTGCCATTGAGCGAAGCACCAAGGAGTTCAAATGGCGGCCGAGCTCAGGCATCACTAATAAGACGCAAAACTCCTCTGAAGTCCAGCGTCAGTCCATGGATTTGTTTTGGGTACAGCGGAAGCAGCGAGTCAGTGACCAAGACTTCGATTCTTATGTGATCTCTTCCCGAAATAAGCAATTTATATCAACTTCTAGTCGACAAGAAGATGTGCTCTCGGGAAAGAACAACAAAGGAAACAAAGGATGTAGGCGAATTGAGATCGGTCAGATTGATGACAACGCATCGAAGAATATTCCACAAGCGAACAAACCAGCCCGATCTGCTGAAGATAGGGGATTGGAGTCAGACTTTCTGGCAGTAACTGCGATATTGGCTGGTGGCGCCGGTTTCACAATCCAGTTCATTGGCCTCAGGGGACTGCCATGGCCTTGCGCTGTTGCTCAGCTTGGCGCCATCATCGCTATGGCTATCATCAGAGCCCTAGTTCGTCGAAGACTCGGAGACGATCCAAGCTATTGCCATGCCCCTTCTCGGTATGAGCTAGACCTCCTTGCTACTCAACTCGTCGACTACTCAAGGACACGGCTGCGTAATCAGCCACTGAGGCCCTCACAGAAAGACTGGACATGGCGAGTCGATACGGCAAAACATCGACTACAGAGTATATACTGGTTCCGTATTGGAAACTGTCTAAATCCAAGTGCCTCTGGTTCGAATCACGAGGATTCTGCATTTTCACAGCCCGACCAATCGAACGAGGCCCAGCAGATCATGCTTGTTCGAAAGCGACTAGGAGATCTAGTTCGGTGGGAGACGGAGGCATTCAAGCCAGCTCTGGCATTAGCTCGTTCCATCGAGCGATTTTTGGACGAGTTTATGCCCGTTGCAGACCAGAACCTCGTAGAATGGAAAGTCCCTATGAGAGACTCAAAGGCAAACCGTTCTGCTGTGACACTTGCAGTCACTAAGAAGGGCTCCAGTGGCTGGCAGATCAAAGTTGGCGAAGTTGAAGCCATCTTGTCACTATGGATGGCTCACCTGGAAGCGACCAAAGTTGCACAAACGAAAGATAGAGAAAAGTCTGATTGGCAAAGATCCAAAGCTGGTACAGCACTGGGAGTTGACTATTGCAGGATCCTCGGACCAAATGACCAACGCGGTGTCTTGGAGCGAGATATCAAGTGGTGGGTGGGCAATTCTGCTCTGACCGAAATCCATATGGCTAAAAGAATGGACGAGGAAGTGACTGGCCCTAGGTATCGAACTTGCGAGGCTTCATATCATTGTAAGGATCCAGGACATGATGATGTTAAGATGGTTATAGGTTTTATGGGGCCACTCAAGCCTGAGAATAATCACAAGTTACTCGTGCAGCACTCTACAGCTGGGTTGGCCACCATTGCTGCGCAGCACCTTTTTACGAGTTTCCTATGGACCATTGTTGATCTGGAACAACTCCCAAAAGATTTCCTCGACCAAGGCTCCATAAACATCCATGAATATGTCAGTATTCAGCCACCCAAGCCATTAGATCTGGAATCAACCAAACTTGGCATAAGTCGAAAGCTGAGTCATACCAAACTGACCAGATTCGCTCTTCATGCCGAGAAAGAGGGTCTTGGAGTACTGGATGACATTCTTTTGTGCCTCATCCCCATCTTCAGCCTGAAAGATGTTCTTCCCAACGACGCTGTGCTGAAGCTTGACTTGCCTGGCCTAGGTGGGCAAATTGTGTGGGCAAAAGACGCATCGATTTACTTGGCGTTCCTCAAGTTCATAACTAAGGATTCTGAGTGCAATTTCTACGACTACCTTTCTTTGGCAACTGTAGTCCATGCACTAGACTACATCTACCTTATGGCCCTCAACAGTGAAAATATGGCGTATGGTAAGGCGTTGTCTCGAGAGAATGATACGGTCGCCGAGTCCCATTCGAATAGTCACAGTGCGGACTGCAAGCCTCTGAACCGACAGTCTTCTGGCGACTTGCGAAAGCTAATAGAACATCTCTCTCTATTCTTCCCTGACGCGATCAAGAAACTCCTGGTGTTTTACAAGCTACAGGGGCGTGAAGACTGTTTCTATGAGCTTGACAGCTACTGTGAAAAGGCAACGCAGATTGGACCCCATGGGGCTGGAAACGGCAACGAAACCTTGATGAGACAAATAAGGTTCACTACACTCCATTGTCAGGCTTCTAACATAATCCCTACCAATCTAGGGTTGTTTCAAGGTATAACCCCCAATGTTACTAAATCACAGAGAGACTTTATGCTTACTAGAACTGTAGGGAAAGACTGGAGAAAGCGAGACATCTTTGGCTGGACAGCTCTGCATTATGCTGCCTCTTGCAAAGAGTTTGAATTTTTCGACGAGCGCCAGCATCCCGTCGTGCCTAACAATCATCTTCCTGGTTATCTCAAAGCCCTGCTACAGCATGATCACCCACAGACCTGGTGGCTCGACAATTTTGGCAGAAGCCCAGTTCATGTGGCTTCACTTACTGGAAATCACAGCTTCTTGGAGAAGCTATTAGGAAGCTTGTTAGTGAAAGAATTGAGATCCAGCTTGGAAGCGAAAGGATCAGACGGTATGACTCCCATGCACCTTGCAATGCTGGGAGGTCATGCAAAGTGTATTGCGGTCATCAAAAAAGCTATCAACCTACAGGAACTTGAATTGCCGATGGACGCTTGGAAACGGAATCCAATTCATCTCGCTGTTGCCAAGGGCGAATATGGATGCTGTAAGGAGCTGATTTGCGACGAAAGTCTTAACTTCACACCATATGCTCTCGATATTCATGGGAGATCTCTCTTCTCGTACCTTGACGAAGCAAATGGAGAACAAAGATCAGTTGGGTGCCTGCTTCTCAAGGTTCACTCAAAACTCTTTAACAACAAAGACAACGAAGGTCAGTCTGTTTGGCACTATGGGATCAAGTTTTTGGGTGAAGAGGCAATCGATATTTTGCAAGACCAGCATCTATCAACCATCAACGCCAGCAATAATTCTGGCCAAACTCCTCTACATCTGGCAATCCAACTTCAGAGCCAACGGATTTTCAATCGTTTACTGAAAATCGGCGCTGAACCGGGCGTCAATGATGCTGGAGATCAGTCTCCGTTGATGTTTGCTTGCTCCCGTGGCGAAGCGAAAATGGTCAGGACCATGCTCGACATTAAAAGGAAAACCGCAAGAGACAAGGACAAAGATGGGAAGTCTTCGTTGCACTATGCGATTGAGTGCAAAAGCTGCAACGACGAAGATCGAGAAAAGATTGTCAAGTCGCTTGTGTCAGCCATGAAAGGAATCGACGTAGAGGATAAACAGGGCTGTACGCCACTACATCTTGCGTGTCAAAGCTCCAAGAGTTCGATAGTTTCTATTCTTATGGAGAAGGGAGCTAATCCGGATTCAAAGGATGATAAAGGAAATAATGCCCTTCATTATACAGTAGGGCTTTGGCCGCAACCTGGTGTTGCAACGTCCACTTGGAGAGAAGAAATTGCTGAAAAGGTTTTGAAGAGGTCACCTGCATGCATCAGGGACCAAAACGAAAATGGACATACAGCACTCTTTTTGGCGCTTTTACGAAACGAGGAAGATGCTAGTATCTTTCTACTACAGAATAACGCTGACCCTCAAGTCATAAGCGACAAGGAGCCTGTATCCCCGTTTATGTGGGCATGTCAGCATGGCGGGCCATTGAGCTTCATTTCAATGGTCATGCTGATGGCTGGACAGCAAAATAGTAACATTGATCTCAACCAAGGTGATGCAGTATTTAATCAGTCAGCCCTTGCATGGGCGTGCGAAGGGAATAGGACCGAGGTCGTCAAGATGTTGCTCGAGACTAGCAATTCAGCCCAATTTGAAGACAAGCTCGACCTCAACAAACGAGCAACAGGGTACAGAAACGCAACACCACTTCACCACGCACTCATTGAAAAGAACCATGATATTCTGAAACTGCTGCTTGATGATCCTAGGATCATGCGTGGGTTGGGTGCGACCGATTGCGATGGCCTCAATCTCTTAGAGTTCGCTTTCGAGAGATCGGATCAGAGATGCCTCACCACATTGCTGTTACACCATCACACAAAATCGGCAGTGTTCTTCATGGACGGCTGGGAAATTATCATCCAGAAACATGCATCTTTGGTCAGCAACCTCGAACTCTGGGACGAATGGGAGCGCGGCATTCTTGACCCTCAACGCGAGGTGCTGTTTCCTATTCACAAGCTGGCCGAAGCTGGTCGACAAGAGATGATTGAGTCACTTCTCCATAGTGGCATGAACGTCCATGGAATGGACGAAGACAACTGGACACCCGCCGATGTCGCTGCCAGTTACCATCATAAGGAACTCGAGGAGCTTCTTCGCAAAGACGATCCCAACAGAGATCTGGCTATACACAAGTACTCTCAGCCGTCAGCCTTCATTAACGTTTATCAGGGACCAGAACTTACGACATCGCCTACAGACGAGCCATCGCTGTCTTTCGTCTTGGGTTGGTGGGTTCTCTTCTGCGCCATGACCAGTTACTGATGCATATTTTGACCTAGGCGTGAATGTTCCCCCTACTGCAGAAGGTATGGGTAGCTATCTTCGCACTCAAGAGGCGATTCCTCCCGACTCGAAATGTTTTTACTATGAAATAGAAGTCCTTCATGTCAGCAATGAGACGTAAGTGATTGCCGTATTTCTTGCTTCTCTTTTTCAGATAACTATTCCCCACATTGTGCTAATATTTTGAATCAAGATGTTGTGTCTTTGGCTTCTGTCAGGCTTTTGTTCCTCAGAGATCGCTGCCTGGCTGGCATGAGGGATCGTGGGCCTATCACGGAGATGATGGGGGATTATATGTAGAAGAAGCATGGCATATAAGTCGGGAAAGTGATCAGACTTTCGATATAGGCGATATTGTAGGCTGTGGTATGAACTTCGAAACTGGTAAGGGGTATCGCACCAAGAATGGAGTCCTGGTTGATTCTTGTAAGTTCACAGCATGAGCTATGACAGAAGAAAAGTTCTGATCCAAAATTAGGCAATGCGTTTGATGGTCACAACTTCTCGAGGGGCAAATTCTATCCATGCATAGGATTTGGCGCCAATACGCAGGGAACTCAGATGCAAATTCGAGTTACGTTACGAGCTTCTGAGGAGTATTCTTTTTGTTTCAAAGGACCATACGATGGACGGACTGCTGAACCAAGAACTCAGTCATCGAAGTAGGCTCTAGGTGAAAGCCTTCTTGAAGGGTTGTTGGGCATGTGGATAGGCTAGAACGGAATTCTTTCAGCCATCGAGGGACGCGAACTACATATGCGTTTTCAAAAAATGATCTCTTCAACCTATTCACTTTAGTAAAAGGTGGCCATAGCAAGCTCGATGTAATATATATCTCTCGAAGTGAAATTATAAATGCAAACAGATTCATGCCTCATGTGTATCCATCAATGCCCGTTGACCGACAAGGCCTAAGAGCTGACCTTTGGTGAAAAGCGAGCTCAGCCTTGAAGGCCGTCGGCTATCATCGCATTAACAAGTTGAACATGTCGGTTGGCGTTGGTCTCGCTCCACTCGTTATCGTAGTTAAGCCCATATGGCCAAATATGTCCTCCGCCACAGTTGATACGAACACCAGCACCATCCCAGGACTGAAGCAGAGGAGTCGCCGTGCGCCAATCATTCGCAGCACACTTTCTATCAAAAGCTGCAGTCTGGCCAATTCCAAGAGTGTGAGAGATCTCATGCAAAGCAGTGCGTTCGCTCATGTAGGATCTGTTGGAACCAAAGCGAAGACTACCGTTGAAGTTGGCATCGGCAGTTGGAACGCCGGGAACGTAGGAGACGCGAATGGTCTTTGTGGCTCTGCCCAAGCGGTTGTATCGCGCTGCTGCGAGACGCATGGCATTCTCAATGCGGCTGTAGGCATCGGCTTGGTCAGCGGATGGATTGGACACCTTCTCAAGGGACCAGTTGATGGCTGCTGAAGTGGTGGAAACGCATGCCACGAGGGCAGTGAACATAGTAGAGAACCGCATGCCGAATGTTCGTGAGAATTAAACCCGTAGTGGTGAGCACACCTCTTGGAAATGTCGATACCCAAGGCTCTAAATACTTCTCATAGCTCAGTCTATAGCATACCGCTACTATATCAGCTTCCATAATCTGCATTATTCCCGTCGATCAACTTGACCCTTATCATTTCAAGGTTTCATCTATCGGCTCACATGGCCACTTTTGTAAAACAATACGGAGTATCTTCATCCGATTATCCTGTTCGAAACATCTATGAAGCATTCGATTGGGTAGGATGCTGCTCAGACCACATTAGCAATGAAACCCTGCTAGGCGTGCTAGGATCTTGAAGCGACCGAATCCCAGCCCAGCGGAACATTTTAAGAGAAACAACTCTAATTGCGAGGCTGCTGAGCTTAACAATAACTTTGATCGACCTTGTACATTCTAACTAAGCCCTTTGAGGGTACTTGAACTGCAAATACATATACATATCCCCTATGACAGGAGGAGAACACACCGATCTTTGGTAGGTAGAAGTGCAAAGAAGCAAGTTGGTGACCCCTCACCAACAAGTTACCGGCGATCACTTCAGTAAGCGGAAGGTGTGATGGTATCGGCCCTTGGTCTTGAATGCCAAGACGATGAACGGAATACGTGAAAACGGAACAATTACAGGCGAGGGGAGACTAGGTCACCGGTTAGGACGTATCCATTGGTGGAACAACAGCTTGGTGTATCACTGAAACTATCCAGCATGCCGTGTTTCACTACCTGGATCTACCTCACAAGAAACAAAAGGGACAAACACATGCCATAAGCACGAAATAGATGTTGTAGATTAATAAGACCACACAGAACTTATGGGCTAAGATATTGTTCCTGTTTAACGGCCATGGAGGGAAATTATACACCAAATCCGTTCCTGGTGCATTCGTCGATCAACTTCTTAGCACCGACGATCTGCTCAACCTTGCCATGCCCCGCCCACTTGACAAGCTTCGACCTGTCCAATTGTGCCTGTGCTGCTGGCCATCCATCCTTCTCCAGGCCGTGAACAGGATCACTAGCAAACCTGAGGTAAAGGTCTTGCATTCTCTCACTGACCTTTAGCTCGAATTTGGTTGATGGGCCCTCAATGCCATGAGTGCCGAAGATCAGAGGCAATTCAGCAGTATGGTACGCGCCCAGCCAAGGTAGAGGGGAAACGTTGGTGAAGTTACCCGCGTAGAGGTACTGAAATGTTCTGGCACCTGCTTCGGACCTCAGACGGTTCTCTTTGAGGGTAGTACATTGGAGATTGAGACCAAACCCATTAGCGATAGGCTTGAGGTTCGCCGGTATCTCTGTTGCTGTTTCGTAGCCTGGGAAGTTGTAGGGAATGACAGCAGCTCCTTCGTTCGTGTTTGTTCCAATCAAGAGAGGAATATTTGCTGGAAACTTGGATGAGCCTGTAGTGATTCTCTCTGTATAGTTGGTGAAAGCAGTGGTATTGTCAGGAATAAGCGAGAAGCTGAGGCCATCGTCAGCAGCACCTCCTTGGCCAAGTTCTGCTTGGAGATACTCCTTGAGCTTGTGCTCAGGGACCCCTCTCATGCACTGGAGCTCTATTTTCGGCGATAAATCGCCGCATCCCAGGTGCTTCGCGGCAATAGAAAATGTGCTGTGATTTGTGGCATCGCCTAGACTTCCCTCAATCGCAAGGGCATTTCCGGAATCGGCTATGACCCCCTTGACGATTGGGTCTCGAGCCCAAGCAAACAGATACCCATCTGTAGCATATGCACCTGCACTCTCACCCCAGAGCGTGATGCGGTTGGGATCGCCGCCAAATCGAGCAATGTTATCGCGTACCCATTCGACTGCGAGACGTTGGTCGAGCAGCGCCAGGTTCAGGTTCTTTCCTTCTTTTGCCAACCCAGCAGCATTCGGTAATCCGAAGATATTGAGTCGATATTGGACCTGTACAACGATGTGCTTCTGGCTTCGCTGGACCCAGGGTTGGGCAAGCTGATATGGCACATTGGTGCCTCCAATCATATAGCCACCTCCATGAACCCAGATCACGACAGGCAACCGTTCATCTTTCGCGTCTTTATTTTCACTTATAGACTTTTTGGGGGTGAATAAAGAGAGTCTCAGACAATCTTCTGTGGTGTTCGCGTAGTCTCCACGCTGGAAGTTGGCAGCAGAAACGAGGCTATCAGCAACAGTACCTCTAAGCAATAGAGGCACGTATTGGATACACCCGCGTGGTAGTTTTGTTGCTCTGATGACTCTATCCCCTGGATAACTTCTTGCAGCAGGTGGCGAGAACCTGAGATCTCCAACCGGAGTCTCTGCGAATGGGATGTCAAGAAATGCGGCAACGTTCGGGTAAGATGGCTCGAAAAGGGGCGCAAAGATGCCAGAGCTAGTGTTAACAGTTAATGGCTCGCCTCCATATGTACTGGCTGGCAGTGCTCTAGCCATAACAGGCAATACTGCAAGAATGAAAGAGTTGAGATGCATGATAGTCTTGCTGCTTGGCTGTCAGCGATATGTTGACAACCGTGTAAATAGTTGACAAGATACATTATATACACGACCCGCATCAACAAGGCAATTCCTCATACAGAATCTCCCAATCGAACAAGTCACCATTCTGAATAATCATGAATTGCACTATGAACTCCAAGGTCTTTAACTCCGATAGAACCAAGTATTATCGGCGCTTATATCCGCTTCGCATGTTGATCAAGCACCGAAGAACAGGGAAAGACATTTCGCTTAGATTGAATAGGCTTAGATCTTTTGCTTTGTTATTAATCGCGATTTATAATGGCAAATCTTCTATGAATTAAGTCCTTCTAAGTCCATTCAATAAGCGTCGGACAATTTGCGTTGTCCAAAGTCCGGCTGTCAGCTTACCACTAGTCAAGCTACCAAAAGGCCGGTCCGAGCAATAAGGCGGTAGCTCTAGTATACCCTTTCCATAAACTTGGTCCATAGCTTTCTGGGGCAAGGTAGCAGGCTGATTGTCACCTGAAGACTCGCTGGGTGATGCTCGATGCTTCCAGAACGTTCCGGGACAGTAAACGAAACAGCAGAAACGGCACATCTGGATATCAGGGCATAGATTCAACCATTCTCTCACTTCCTCTGAATTTATCGAGCTCTCAGAAGTTTTGGCTTGTCGGAAATGCTGCGTGGGTGGGTTGCGATGTGAAGTATGGCTCCCTGCCGTGACCAAGCCAGCTGGGTTACGCTGTTTCATGACCTATGGCTTTCCAGCTGATTTTCTGGTCGTTCATCCATGTGACCTCGGTCACGTAGAAGTTCCCTCAACTGTTCCAAAGCCTTCATGACGGTAGCCTTCCTGACAGCACTCCGATCCCCTGGAAAGTAAAACGGCCCAAACGCCCTGTTCTGACCCGCCCTCGAAATTCCAATAACCACCGTCCCAGGTGCTTTTCCTTCCTCGATACCAGGTCCTGCCACGCCGGTAGTGCTGAGTCCCCACGTCGTCGGCGTATCGAGCGTCGTGATACTGCGAGCGCCAGCGGCCATCTGTTCCGCGACTTCCCCATTGATAGCGCCGTGCTTCGAGATGATGGATTGGCTAACTCCAAGTATGTTGACCTTTATTCCAGTGCTGCAGGAAACGATGCCGCCGCGACAGACAGAACTTGCGCCTTCGACTGCTGTGAGGGCGGCCATGACACTCCCGCCTGTTAAGGACTCGGCGACGCCAACAGTTTCTTTTTCTTCCTTGAGAAGTCGTATTACGTCTTTGGCGATGTCTGAGATGGTTTCTGAGCTTCGTTTGACGTATTTGAAAGTTTCCATACTGGCGTTTGGGTAGTGGTTGATTGACATGTTTGATCTGAAAACCTTATTCGATAGCTTCGATCGATAGATCAGAGACACCTTGCGGGTAAAGTCAGACATGCGAAAAGGAAATTTCACACTTCGAGGTAATATTAGAGAAGTTGATGAGCAAATTTGGAGAAAGTCTATGATGGTCTTATGACGTTCTGTTGAGCAATCTTGACGACATCAATTATATGTCCAATGTTGACAATAACTCGTGTAAAACTCCTGTCTCACTCCTTACAGTGAAGAAATACTTAGAAATGCTACTGTATGCAGGTGATCTTGGTGAATAGAAGATACGGGACATTCCTCGATGCTTGTGAGCCCTTGGCCGAACATCTGTGATTCAAGATATGAACTAGAAGATGTCTTCTGATTAGTAGACAAAGAATATCCAAGGCCAGAAGCTGTCATATTTTGCATGATATATCTAACTAACGATAATACTTTTAATCCATCGACTGAGCATATGCAACCGCCAACTCCGTTGAATGCAGCTATATCAACGCATGCCCCTTTGCCTTCAACATGCGATATCCTTCCACTGATATCACTATTTCTTGAACTTTTTCTGGATCTCTTCCTCTGTGAAGCGGCGAGTCTTGGTCTCCAACATAGCAGCACGCTCATCCAACGACATAGCGATCTGCTCACCCATAGGTACCAAGCACCTGGCCAGAGTCTTGTAATCCTTCATCATCAATCGAACGGTGACCATCATGTAGTCGATGTCGTGGAAGACAAGGGCGTGCTGTGATGCATAGGTGTGTTTCGTCTTCTGGAAAGAAACTGGGTGCTCGCGCCAGTGACGAAGAGGGTTGAGGTGATGAGAGGTGTGATAACCGTCGTTGTAACAGAAGCGGTTGCTCTGTTCATAGTCAGCGCGAGTATTCTGGTGATTATGTGAGTTTAAACTTACAGCAACGTCAATCAATGTGATACTCGATCGGTAATCAGAGTCAGGATCAACATCGTCAACAAAAGCATGCTGACCCCAGTTACCTGCCATCAGTCCGAGACGGAGAAGAAGCAGCGGCATGAGGAAGACACAGATGGTGGCGTTTCTGTGTAGGTTGAACATGGTGATAAGGAAAGCATAGTTGGAAAACTCCCAGAATCCAGCCTTCAAGCCAGTCATGACCTTGCCATTTCGGATGAAGTAGATGGGAAGATCGGCCCAGACGAGGAAGAAGAATCGGCCGACGTAGTGAAGGAAGTGAAGAAGGCTGTCTCGCTGGTATCGGATAGTCGATGACAGATCGTTGGGTCCATTGCCCTCAACGTGATGGTGCTTGACATGGTGGTAGAAGTAAGAGTTCCAAGTATGTCCCATCAAAGGGTCAAGGATATAAGGAAACAGATGATCAAAGACGGCAAATTTCTTGTCTAAAACGCCTCTCATGTGAATATGCTGATGCATCAACAAAGTATACGCTCCCATGTAGGAAAACTGCATAACAAAATGAAGAACGCCATGGATCCAGGTGAAATTCGTGAACAAAAAGATGGCGCTGGGAATCGTGGTCGAGAAGTAAAGAAGCAGATGCGTAAGCATAATGACATCAGTCTCAACCCTCACAACAGACCGCGCCAGGCGAATGTAAGGTCTCAGCACTGTCTTCTCTAGGAATAGTGGTAGTTTGATTTGATCAATGTCCCAATTGGTCGTGACGCTTGGTTCAAAGTGCGCATCTTGAGGATCGTTCATTGCCTGGAGATGACGAAGCAACTCTTCATCGCGGGCTACTGAGCTGTTAATTGGCTGGGTATTAGATAGGCATGAAGGTGATGCGAACCGGTAGGTACTGAGGTTGAGGTCTCGGCATTGCTCGATGATGAATCCTTTATGTCTTGGCGGAGACCTTCGAGGATCAGCGCATCGGCTTTTGTCAGCTGAGGATGGAAGACGATAGTGTCCTCCATGCTGTCTGTGTGGCAAATGGCTGAAACGGAAGATATCGTGGTGCGCTGCCACAAAGTAGCAGGTTGAAAGTCGATTGTAGCCTTCGGGTACGCGACCAAAGCTTCAATCGAAATTCAGGGTCTTCAGCTGATGGATGTTCTTGCAAGACCCTGAGTTAAAATCGCGAGAAACAGAAAAGTCACCCCTAAATCTGAAATAGAACAACCAATGGCAACATTCCAGGTAAGAAAATCAGTGGAGAAAGTATCTCGCTTCTATCCCTTTTTGAGCCACCGCTCGTTTCTTGGCAATCTCGGAAATACCCAAGATGATCCCGTCCCGTCTAGACCATCTGGCTTTAACCGGGGTAGCCGGGGGTAAAAGGAGGTTGTCAATTGAGATTTCGCCAATGGCTGCCATTGGCAATAGGGAATAACCTGCGATGGAGGAGCTCAAGGGTCCAAGGTCTAGTCAGAATTGGAGGTAAGAGTTTGGCAGTGTTGCAACGTCGATATTTCCGGGTGCGTCAATGTTGCCCCAAAGCCCGATGGGGTAACGCTTCCTTTTCACAGACTCAATTGGAACATCGTATGATTTTTGGGGGTAGAAGTTTTACAGTGACAAAGAATATCGTGTCCTCGTTATCTGTGTTTACAGGCTGAAGTTTAACTTTGTGGCCAGCATTCAGCCTCGTTGTACGTACATGTGATCTTGGTCAATTCCGCCCACGCTGAAAATAGAGCAAAAGCAAAGTGAGGGAAAATACGGCCCAGCTGGGTTGCTTGAAGTCGAGATCTGTGGTTAGGGGCTTATATCACCATACAGAAGTCAATGGAATGTAAGCTTTGGCACAAAATTTGGCGATTTGATTCAGCCAATTGAATGGTAATGGTCCAGAAACATTAACTAAAGTTGTTGAACAGTATATAAACCCCGTTGCCTTAAGGCCCTAAGTGTAGGGTCCTTACGTTTTTGCGCCTATTTTAGCCAGCGGTTTTGTACGACAGAAGTCTTGCCCGATGCAACGGGCTTGGCCACCAACCATGGCCCTCCAAAGCCGAACAATGGCTTCTTGGTCCTGTAGACCAGGGTTACAAATCACTTCCTGGAAGCTTGTGATGAAGTGACAACCTGACTATGTCGCGGCTCAATCAGTGATCCGATAGATAGTCGTTGGGTGAAAACTGTTTTAGGGCGTGTTGACGTTGTTCACTGGTAGACCAGCGCGTGCTGTTGGCAGGCTTCGAGCGACACGCAGACCATGTTCCTGTCACAACGGCAGGCGGGCGGCCACGGACCAACGAGCGACTGGGAAAGTAAATTTTGTTGATATTTGAGTCTCTTGAATTGATTAAGTCTATCTAGTCGAGTTTGTGTGTCGTAACATGTCATAGGCTTCAGTGAGCCGTCGTCGTCTAATCTCTCCCTGCCAAATGCCCGTGGCCCAGTTTCCATGCAGATAAAACCCCGTATCCCTAAAAGTATTATTGAGAAGTGAAATGTTCATAATGTCTCCAATCCAATGCCAATCCAATGAGTCGTTTAGCAGCTGTACTCGATGTACACGCCATTCTTGTCGCTCTGCTCGAGGAACACCTTTGTGTTGCCGTTGGGGTTTCGCAGCGCGGCCTTGAGGTAGACGGTGCTCTTGCAGTCGATGTTACCAACAATATGGGTCTGCGCAGGCAAGTCATCCCAGTTGGTGAAGTCAGCAGCGCCGACAGACTCCCCAGCAGTGTCAAACTCCTTCGCGGTGTTATATGTGACAGCCTTGCCGGGGAAGCCAGAGAGCTGCTTGAACTCGGTCAAGGCATCTCCACCCTTGACGATGAAGAGACGCTCAGGCTGCTCACCCTGCGCCCAGCCAAGAGTACACTTCTTAGCCTCGGCAGGAATGCCCGTGAAGACGAGGAGCTGCTCAATCTGAGATGCGTTGTTGTACGTCGCGACGTTGAAGCCGACGGACTTTTTCGCGACGTCGGGCGAGCCGGGGAATACGCTGTACAGGGCTGATGGCTCCTGGCGCGTTGCTTTTCCAGTGGAGGGGCAGTTGCCACTTGCGCGGGGTAGTGCTGTAGGAACAGCGCCAGCGACAGCCAAAAGGCAAGTCAGCGCAGTGAATGTGTTGGCGAGGAAAGACATTTTGCAGGTATTCGATCGAGGTAGAGTTGAGGTCGGGTGGCTCTGGAATGCAAATTGGAGGGAAGAATTAAGCATATTTATGAATCACAAATCCCAACCTCCGAGATGATGATCAACCGTGCATCTCACATCCTCAAGAGCCAAGAATTGGTCCTGTTGATCAGTGCTGCTGATTCGTGGCACAAGCAGGGATCGGGTGCAACTACAGCGAATCGTAAATCAGTGGCGGAGGCTTCTGTGTTTATGCGTACGATGCAGTAACAGCGCACCAAGAGGCCCAAAAATGGGGACCTCTCAGTAATCAGGCGGTCGGGGAAGGGCTGCGTCATGCATAACACGTACAATATTTCCAATATTGGTCGCTATTCTGGGTCTTGAGGGCATGGCCTTGTGCAACAATAAGCAATGGCTGAATGAATCGCGAGATTTCACGACTGTGAGCTGAGATGTGAGCTCACGTCAAGCTGCAGGTGTCTGAAACAGCGAAACCCCGCAGAGTTACATCAATTCGAAGGCTGGCCAACTCTGTAATCTTATGGCCCGATGAGAATAATGTAGACAAAACACGGCAATCAACCATAATATTCCGTGGTCCAAAGCTCATCGGCATTTATTGAATATGCTGGCAACCCGGCCGCACGACGCATAGTTCGTTGACATCGAGTCATTCCCTTCAACGTCCCCATCAATGTTGGCACAACAGAAATGCTGGCCAGACTTGAGGCTTGGCAAACAAAACAAAGTTCATCAGAGGCGTCGACGATGTCCACAGTAAACAAAATCTGTTCCCCTAGCCTTCATATTCATCAATACGATTCCACGTGACATCGAACTCCGCTACAGTGACTGCTCACAGTCATCATCTTCCGTAGTATAGTGGTCAGTATGCAAGCTTGTCACGCTTGAGACCCGGGTTCAATTCCCGGCGGGAGAGTTCCAGCCGCCTGTAAATACAGGCATCCATCTTTTTTCTATATGCTCATATTGAGTCATTTTATTTTTGGCGACATTGGGACCTGCAATCGTGATCTTGAGTTGCAACGAAACTTGGTATGGATGTTTTATGCTAACAGATAAAGTTTACTGACACACCACTTTGGCGGCTGTTATCTGATAAGCTTGAACCTGGAGAAATTTTTTCACTTCCACTGTTTGCGTGGTTACCCTGTAATTGGCAGTCGCTGTTTATGGACAACCTCAGAGTTATGTCCCTTAAATGGATATTTTCTATATCTGGTTATAATTCCAAATTTTCAATACTAGACTATCTGTTGTTGCAGAACAGTTTTACTACCTACTTGTCGTTTTGTCCAGTCATTCATTCTGGCTCTCGCCTTTAGTGTACCGGTTCAGTTCCAGCAATTGCCTTTTCACCATGGAGCCAAAACTTGTCGTCCGCCTTTCAGCAGGAAATTATAGGGTTTGACTATCCAACCCGTCAACAAGCCCAATTGACCTCTACTTTACTGATCTCGACACTTGCCAGATTGTTCAGCACGAAAAATTGTTCCACGCGCCAATTCCATTGTCAGCGTGACTCCATGGTGCGTATATAGACCCAGACTTGAACATCTCCACCAAGACAACGTGGCCGAGTGGTTAAGGCGATGCCCTGCTATCTCATACGAGACATCATAGGCATTGTGTTCGCACGCGTAGGTTCGAATCCTGCCGTTGTCGATTGTTTTTTGTCTTTTGCCCATTTTTCTGCTCTTTCATTCATTAGAAACAAATTGCGTCGATTTGCGTATTGTCGTGTCATCGCGGTTGTGCCGTCTCCGCTCTTGTTGATCGCGCGGCGCGAACGCGTTGACAATTTCGCTGTGACTTCGGCCAAGACTCGAGTTAATTCTATAATCTAAAGTCTATCTCTTTGCTTTATCCGAGAATTTAAATACTTCATCTTCCCTCCACCAACCTCTGTCATATAGCCACAGACTGAGACCTTCAACTGTGCCTTTACTCTCTGCATGTCCGTCCTTCAAATAATCCAGACACTTCTGTACCTCTTCCTTATCATCTTGCTTGTTCATGACGGTGTAATGACCTCTCCATTTCTCCCGCCTATCTTGATCGCTCAGAAAAGTCTCCCATTTATTCCTCAATTCACTGCGTATGCTCAATGCCTTCTTCTGACCAGCATAGAGTTTGATGCCGACTCCCTTTCCCATTTCGTAAACGTCCTGATTTCCGACACCAATTGAGAATGTGGCTGTCCGAGCTGCGATGTCTGCAATATCTGCTTTCACCTCTGATAATTTGGAGCCGGGTAACGCGTGAAACAGAGTGATATGCGCGTCGACCTTGAGCAATTGTGGAGGAAACCATTGCCTTCGCAGCGCAGTCATTTCATCATGGTGTCGCTTGTCGGTAAGAAGTGTCAGGATATAGAGCTTTTCCTCGTCATTTGACCCCTTGGGAATATGGGCCTCGCGACGTTGGTACTGAAGTTCGCTGGATTGGTGTAACTCTGCTGTACTTGTTTGTGAGAGCGGGCCACGTCTCACAATGGGATGCGTCGCAGGGACTGTCGTGACTGTCATTGCCGGCGAAACAAGGCTCTGAAAAATGCAAGAAGCTCGAAGTGACCTCATTTAAATAAAGAACATTTGGGAAGTTCTGTTCAAATATGTTTAATGTGAAAGTCTTGGTATGAGGTGTTGACGTCAACGACCCAAACCTGGGATACCTAGCGTGTTATTTACGTTTTCATATTTCGGGGAGATGTCCATGACGTAGAAAATTGCTCTGTTTCTGACTAGACGAATGTTTTTGAGGCCAAATAAGCACATATCACGATATGATAGTCTGCACAGATGACTGAGCGCGTTTCTTCTCTCACATACTGAATACTTGTTACTCAGAACAGAGAGCCATC